GTACCTGTAATCTTGAGGGAACTGGTGCTCCCTGGCGGATTCGATCTCGTGTCACCCAGCTTCACAGTCAGAGACGTTACCACTGAGCTATCCGAGCCGTGACTAACCTCCTGTAGGACTGAGATGTAATCACAATTGATTGATCACTGGGTGGTGATCAATCTCATGCTTGTCTAGTCCATATTAGTGCAGACTGGTGGCCACATTGCAACATGATCGATAGCATTCGACAGGTAGCTCAGTGTTATTCATCGTGTATGTATCTGTGCCTTGATGACCGATATGCATCACAACACACTTGGAAGTATTTATCGGCAACTGCCATGTTTGAGACCATTCAGATAACTTCTTCAGGTCATTTTGAAGTTCTAAGCTATCACTCTTACATCGTATCGTTCTCCATATCTTGACATCGTCAGCATATAGCAAGACCGATGATGATAGGAGACAAGGAAGGTCATTTACATACAAGAGGAATAGCACTGGCCCCAAAACTGTACCCTGGGGCACTCCGCTAAGCACAGTTTCCCAGCTAGATAACTTTGAGTTCACCCTTACTCTTTGTTGACGCCCAACTAAGAAGTCTTTTATCCACATCAATAAATTACCTCCAATCCCGATATGTCTTAACTTATATAACAGCCGGTTGTGCGGAACTTTATCAAAAGCTTTACTGAAATCAATGAAGGCGACGTCTACAGGTAGCTTTTGGTCCTTAAGAGCGCACCAGCTTTCACGAGCCACTAATAAGTTAGTGAGACAAGAATAACCTATTCTGAAGCCATGCTGCTTCTCCGAGAGGATCCGGTTTTTATCGAGATACTTAAACAGCTCCTTCCGAATAATCTTTTCTAAGATTTTAACAACCACACTAGTTAGGCTAACGGGGCGGTAGTTCTCAGGTTTGTGTTTCGTACCTGTTTTGAAGACAGGACTTACTATGGCGTTTTTCCAATCTTTCGGTAAGCGACCCTGCGTAACGGATAGGTTAAAGCATGTACTTAAAGGGTTCGCAACGAAGTTAGATAATTCCTTCAGTAGCCTAGGATGTAATTCATCGGGCCCCGTGGATTTACCTATGTCAAGCTTATTTAGCAGACCAAAGACATCGAGTTCTTTAATGGTCACGCTATCCAGTGTATGTATGGGGGGATCTGTATACGCTGACGAGAAGGGTGCTTCTATGGTATACACGTTGCTAAAGTAGTTCGAGAACGCTTGAGCCTTACCAAAGTCGTCCTCCACTAATGATGAAGCAGTACTGTCTCCCCATAGAGCAGGAATATTTCCTTTTCTCCTTGTCCTTTGGTTTATATAGGAATACAAGCGTTTAGGACATTCTATGGATTCCTTAACAAGTTTTTCTTCGTACAATTTTCTAGACTTACGGAGGGTCGAGGCACAAGTGTTCCGAGCCTTTCGATACTGAGATTTTGACTCATCAGTCCCCAGTAACCTAAATCTATCCCACGTTTTCCTTTTCTTACGGAGAAGGATACGGACCTCCCTACTGAACCATGGTGGTGAGTTTTTCGGCCCCTTTGGTATAGTCCAAGGGATGTGAGGTGTGGTAACTTTTAAGTATGATTTTCGAAATGCGTCCCAGGCCGTTTCAATGGAGGACTCTGGGTCTATTGTCCAATCTATTAACGATGCTGAGTGCATGATGTCTGGTATGTTTGCTTTCCAGACGTTGGGTCTGGACTGGACTGACGCGTCCTCATGACTGGCAGTTATATGGAAGTCGAAAGTTAAAACTGCGTGGTCACTTTTACCTAAGGGTGGCATATGGTGGAGGTTCGCAACATCATCCTCATAGTGAGTCAGTATAAGATCTAATAAGGATGATTCAGTGTCCGGGTCGTACCTAGTCGCTTCTTTCACATGTTGCACTAGGGCACATGTGATAACCGCATCAACTAGTTCCTGCTCGAAGGAATTTTCTGACGATTCAGTTCGCAGATTTTCCCAGTCTACCATAGGTGCATTAAAGTCCCCTAGGATTAGACATCGACCACTTTGGGACCAAGTATTGAGACTGCTTAACAGGATCTCATTTGCCTCACAGCTTGGACTGCGATAGACCAAACCAATCAGCAGCTCTTGTCCCTTGCATTTTAAGCGAAGACTAACTAATTCACACGTCCCACTCTCATGGGATACACTATCGATAATGGTAAATGGGATAGCATTCCTAATGAATAGAGCTACTCCCCCTCCTTTGCGCTTTTGTGTTCTGTCGGCCCTTACTAACGTAAAGCCCTCGAAATCAAGTTCTATACTATCTATAGCCTGTGTCAGCCAGGTTTCTGTTACTGCGATTATATCTGGCTTTATAGAGTCAATCTGCACACCTAGTTCCGATCGCTTATTAAGTAAGCTTCGTGCATTGGTGTAACAGATCCGAAGCCTGTTTAAGTGCCTTCGTGCTTCACCCAGAGTGGCTTCGGCATCATTCTCTGTCGAAGTCTTACAACCCGAAAATTTACAATTTTCAGGTCCTTTTCGCCAGCGTCTAACCTATGTTGTAGTTCTTTCTCGGCTTCCCGTCTTTTAACACGGTCTGCCAACGGTAGGTCCTTTCGGATAAAGACTCCTGAACCCTTTAATTTGTGTCCATTTTGTAAAATTAGGTCACGTTCGTTTGAAGAGCCGAATACTACTTTAAGCAGTCTGGAATGATTTGGTTTCGAGTCCGTTAGACTCCCTAGTCTATACACCTTTAGCAAGGTGACCCCAGTCATATTTTGAGGCATGAGTTGATTAAGCAGCTGCCTAATCAGTACAATGTCATGCTCAAAACGAGCTTTAGGTTCAGAGCTATCGCTCTCCTTGATTCTATGAAAAATAGCTGATCTGTCGCTATGATCAGCTTTCGATTTTTCAACCACTTTTACGGGGGCAGGTTTCCCTTTTATATCAATACTTTTCTTCCTTACAACCTTTACCCATTCGTCAACGCTGCTGGTAGAAGCAATAGCAGTTGCGTCAAACCTAGTGTTGGGTTTTGGGGGGTTGTCGACGACCTGAGGGGTCGTGTTATGTTTACCGTTTGAAACCGATCGAGCCTTGCGATTGCGGCTCCTAGGTGTTTCCTGTTGGATCCCATCTGGGAGACGGGGAACAGAAGACCCTACTTTTCTTGAGCTTTTTTTTAAGGCAGGCCCCTTTGGAGACTGCTTTTCCTTCTTTGACGGGCGTGAGTCATCTATCACCGGACTCACCTTAGTTTCCTTCACATTGATTTGCGTGTCAACAGATCGAGTGCTGTTTGACGCGTTCCGACTATGCTTGTTGAAACACTTCTTTGCAGCATCAACCAGTGAGATGGCCTCGGTTAACAAGCTGTTTGCATCCGAGCAGCACTGTTGACAAAGCCACACACAACCCTTCTTACTGAACCGTTTGAAAGCAGCAGGCGTTAAGTTCGTGCAAACTTCGTGGTACCAGCCTTTGCACTCGTCGCACTGCATGCCGCTTTCAACAGGATAACGACAACCCGGACGTTGGCAACTGCTTTTTTTACACTGTCCGGTCATTTAGGAGGGGTTTTTTCAATATGCGATGATACCCAGAAACAAAAAAATTATCAATGACCAAAAAAGTGAAGAGCTGTAGATTGCTAGGACCAAAAGTACTAACAGATACAGTTGAAAAAGAGGTACTAAAGAGTACCAACGACAAAAACAGTAAAAACGATACTTTAGTCAAATACTTTAACTGAAATAAATTCAATTAAAGTGAAAAACAGTAGTCTTGATACGTAATAAACGATCAAAACAATGAAATTTACTCAGCGAGGAAAAATACCACTGTCCTTTTTAAATAGCGCGCGTTGTCGAGGAAAAACTTATCGAAATTAGTGGTACGTTGTCTTATTATTACTAATAACGGAGAAGATGATCTTTTTTGCATGTTTCTTAGAAACATGGAACGGTCAAGTCCGGAGATTTGGGAGACAGCCATTGATGCTGCTTCGCAGTTTGAAATTGTGAGGAAAATATGTAATGAACATCACAAAGTTATCTGTGAAAATAAACGGTGAAGCAATTGGTGTTAGTCAGTGTTTAGAGAAAACTTCAGTATGGATGATCGACACCTTTTAACTTTATTTACCATGTAGTGTGGATGAAATCAATTGTTTTGTTCGTTCTCTATAAAATTGTGTTTGACCACTTTGCGCTTGTCGAGTTGATGTATTTTGAATACAATATTCGAGAAATCTTTGTATTTTTACCAAATAGCAAGTTCATCTTCAGCGTTTCCGGTTTAAATAGATGATAAGAGACCTGAATTTGACTTTCAAATCCTTATTGTGATTCATTCGATAAATAGCATAAGGAAATATATATTTTCGGCAATTTACCATCACGTTTTACATCTACAACTATCTGTCCATGACGTTTAACCTATTGTTGTTGTTGACAGATTTAACATAAATGTAGGCAAGTTATTGTGTAAAGTGGTGATGAAATTCCTGGTAGATTCATGAGAATATGTGCACGGAGTTTTGAAAATTTGTCTATCTGCGGGGGGCGCAGGTGTAATGAAACGAGTAAAATATTAAAATTTCGAGCGGATACTATGAAAAGTAAAGTTAGTAAAAACAGTAATGCAAATCAAATAACAAGAGAATACAGGTTTGAGTGAGTTTAATCGAAGGATTTTTATTCTCACTGCTCTTGAGATGCTTGATAACTGGATAAGTATAAGATTTCAGATTCAGATTCAGATTTGTGTAGTAAGGACAGTAGGTCTAAGGCCTATGTCATTCCTTTTCTAATATGCTTCTGTGAGTGTCCAGTCTTCTCTTGAAAGAGTCAATTGAAAGTGCGGATACCACTGCTTCAGGCAGCAGGTTCCAAGTATTGATGACTCGGTGTGATAACCTGTATGCCACCGGTATTTTGTTCATTCTTGGCTTTTCTACTCGCCTGCTATGTCCTCTGAGGTGTCCCGATCTAGTGGGAAGAAAGAGAGAGAATAAGTTAGGTCCGAAATCACGGAGCAAATTCAGCAGTACGTAATATTTTCAATGCTTGTGGTTCAACATCCAATATAGCAATTAAACTAGTTGCATGTATTTGTCTTATTGTATCCAATTTTGTACCATACATTGCTCCTTCATGTGAACCATATTCTAAGTATTCATTATTAGCAATATCACGTATCATTTCATCATGTGAAATAAAATAATAATTTTTTCCATTCACTTCATCTTTACGTGGTGTACGAGTTGTATCTAATTGTAAAATAAATATGAAAATATTTTATTAGAGATTTATTTTAAAAGAACAAATGACAATTCTCCAATATCCATATGAAGTATTAATCATGTTGTTAAGGAGTTAAGCAGTCAGTTAGTCAGCAATCACGTAGAGCTTCCTACGTACATACATCAGTTCAAGTTGCCATACCACATTAGCACAAAAATACAGTTGTCGATCCAAATCACATAGCGGTAGAGGTAGTAAACGTATAAGCAGTAATCGGAAACATACGCGTTTGAAGATGTTACTCAAGCACTATAATACAGTGAAATAAATTTGGAAAAAGAAAAAAAGAAAGGGACATGAAGAATTCAGAAGATTAAAATTTGAGAGAACACAAGGAGTGGATGCACTTGCACTCAAAGTTTATAATATTACAGTCAGCCATGTATAATGTAGGATCAGGCACATATATGCATCGATCCAAGTTGCCATACCTCATTAGCACAACATAATGATCGGAAAATTCATCGAAGCAGCTACATCAATGATAGTGATATATATAAAAGAAAGGTTGTGTATCACGATATGAGACAGGGAGAAAGAATTAGTTCATAGACAGAAAGATATAAAGTAATTCCAATCTCATAGTTTAAGGGAAGACAAAGAGTGTGTGCACCTACACCACTGTGATCATTTCTGAGCCATGTCACCCAGATTCTCCAACCATTAGTTGCAATAGTCGCGCGCACCCAAACCAAGTAATTTGCATCATAATATTACAAAACAAATTCGCTTATACGTTTTACTAAAATTATGATTAGATTATTATCAGTAGTACGAACCTCATCTTGGATACTTACAACAATTGTTTAATATTCGGATTTAGTAGATCAGTAGACAATATGTTGACATTTAAAGCGAAGGTTTGAATCTGAGTGAAACATCATCAATTTAATATACATATATCCATCTGGTGAGTCGTATATAGAATGAAACTCGCCACCATATAACTTTAATATAATGATTGATTAGGTTTTAAAACTTTAATACTGTGGTTGCAGATAATGGAGGTTAGTTTTCGATCGACTGTAATGTAACTTCAGTAATGTAGTGTACTGAAATGTAACTTCAGTAATAGCTTGTTTCATCAATGGCGATGGATGATCTTGTTTCAGAAAAGTCAACTGATTAAAACTGAAAACACTGAATCTCTGCTTGTCGACTAAATGATCTAATAATGACAAAAATTTGCGGATTTTGGGTTTAATCCCTAGCGAGGTCATCAGCCTCATATTATCCTCATTCGTATTCCTCCATTGAAAGGAATAATAATCAAAGCAGCCGACTTACAAACAATAAGTGTCAGGTTAGACTCAACTCTATCTACATCGTTTCGGGCAATAAAAGAGTATGATTAGTCCTAATGATTAAATTTGAAAGCGATTAAATAGATTGAAGCTTGATCAATCAGAATTTTCATTATCAATGAAATCTATTAATTCGTGGTAAATTTATGAATTTTCGAGGTGAATTTATAAATCTTTGAATTGATTAACAACGAAGGCGAAAAATTACTAACATAGAACATTTTTAAAAGAGTAACAATAACAATGGAAATTATTTTTCAGAGTGTTATAGTAAAAATGCACAGTTTTATAGTTACGTTCTTACTTACTTAAGCCTATTACTCCTTGTGGAGGAGCATAGGCCGCCAAACAGCACTCTCCCTCCAACCCTGTCCTGGGCAAACCTTTCTAGCCCTTTCCAGTTGTTATTCATCATTTTCATATTAGCTTCAATTTTCCGACGTAATGTGTTCTTTGGACTTCCTCTTTTCCGCTTCTCCTCACGATTCCACGTTAACGCTTACCTCATGATGTAGTTTGATTATGTGCGTAATGTATGTCCTATCCATTTCCATCGTCTTTTCCTAATTTCTTCAGTTGGAAGCTGAATTGTTCTATCCTGCAGTAGGCTGTTGTTGATAGTACCCGGCCAATGGATGTTGAGTATCCTGCGTAGACATCTATTTATAAATACTCGTACATTTTTGATGATGGTTGTAGTAGTTCTCCAATTTTCAGCTCCGTACAGTAGGACTGCCTTGACGTTCGTATTGAAGATTATCACTTTGATATTGGTTGATAGTTGCTTTGAGTTCCATATGTTCTTTAATTGTAGGGATGCGGCCCTTGCTTTGCCAATCCTTGCCTATACGTCAGCATCTGATCTTAATTGTTTATCGATGATGCTTCCCAGGTACGTGAAGGAATCTACATCCTCCACAGTTTCACCAATAATTATTATTGGGTATGTTGTTCTCAATCATTTTATTCAGTAAACAATTAGTTTATGAAAAATTATAAAATACGATTAACTTCTATCATTATGTATTTATAACTCACGAGGAATAGGATATGCAAATTTATCAGGTGATGATTGAATTAAACAATTATTAATATGACGTCGTCCAACACCATGTGCACCAAGTAATACTAATGTTCTACGACGAAATTGTGGTAATCTGACAACTTCTTCATAAGTAACTAAATCTAATTGATCATAAATAGCTGAATGTTTATTTTTGTATTTATCTTTAAAATGACGTTTACGACGTTTAAACCATGCACCACAATGTGTAATACCCATTTCATGTGATAATTCAGCTGCCTTATTTGCCATATGCCATTCTTGAAGTTCTGGACTAGGAATTAAACTCGCTGGTGCTTGACAGTCCGAACCCCATAAAGGAGCTTGAACCAAATAAAAAAAGAACGATGTTTATGTGCAGATATAATTCAAAGGATAATAAACATTCAGAAGATTATCCAACATGGATTTTAATGCAGGATTAACTCATCAACTTTGAGCACATTACCTCAAGGAAATCTTTCAAAATAATTTACGTTCAAAATCAAAACGTACAACTTTTCATCTTTCTATAGTTCTAATCCCTTTTTCTCAACAGCAATTAAATGTGTACGATGGTAGAACGTCAGGAGTAATAAGTACTTGCCTTATTTTATAACGTCACAAATCACGAAAGGTTTTCAATGAGATTTCTGTAGACTATGACCTACGTTTTGCGCTTGTTAGGATTTATTTGCAAACTATACACAAGGAATTGAGAAGTAATTCGAACGTTCAAAAATGTTTATACAAGAAACATGATTATCTAAAACAGCTTCCAAAATTTTAACGAAAGTGGCAATTATTAACTGGCCCGATTTTGTAAACTACTCGACAATCAATACAACGTAGTAGTATAGAGTCTCTGTAACTTGGCTTAGTAGCTCCACATTGAACATTTTAATTAATAAAACCAAATGATATGATAGACATTATTATTATTATTATTTATTATTTAAACACATAAACATTGGTACAAGGAAGCACTAAATAGATATACATCACATAAATCATTCAATTTGTGTGAGGGCTGTGAAACTGCCCGGTTGCCCAAATCGAACCAGGTGGTTTACTCGGGGAGACACACCCGGAGCTTTTGACCTAAACATCTGATCCACAAGTCAGTGCAGCAACGTCAGGAGATGCAGTCTCATGGTAGTCAGTGACCACCATTTGTTCCCTCAGGATACTGGAGCCCATGTGCACCATTGGTTTGGGATCAGGGTTTTCCAACTTCCCTATGTGGACTCTCCTTGTCCAGTAACCCGGTTCAAGCGCTGGATGTTCGCTTTTTGTCCTTTCAATTTCGTAACTAACAGCGTGGCCTCAAGAAGGCATTGAGTAGAACTTCCCTGTCAGCAGTTGTATGCATGTGGTCATGTGAGAGCATTTAGAGAGGGAGAACTGACTCTCCCCACTCTTGGCCGTACAAGGACACTTAAAGGCGATATGATAGACAAATTACTGATCGTCTGTCTAAATTTAATAGCTCTATAACTATTGGTAGGGGTTTGTATTACCTTACTGCCAACAATAATCTAAACACACTACAAGCTAGTAATTCGCAGGTTAAATCAAAGCTTTCAAATAAAGTACATAAATCTCAACAGGAACTGAACAATTCCAGTCCAAAATATCAAAAAGATGGAATAGCATAAAGGTTTATCAACACATTTATATCCATTAAACAAATGAGTGAGTACTATGAATCAATAGCTCAATGGTAGAATCTGAAGAAATAAGTACCGGGGTTTAAACTATCAATCTGACTATATTAACATTGAGGTCACAAATACATTGAGATGACAAATCTTTCAAATAGAATGAAACAAGTGTTTAGGATTTTCATTGTAAAACACAATTTAATTATACAAATAATCATAATGAACCTATTTTCAATGAACATAAATCCATAGAATAAAGGTATCTACACATTCTTCAAATATAGAAACATATATTGTTAGTATGGGGATTTGTAGAGATTGTAGTATTTTGATAGTTGAATTCACGAGTTGTTCTAAACTAGATCATCATTGAAGGATAAACTGTGTCGGTTGTGAGATCGATTGATGATAGACAATAACACCTTTAGATGTTGGATCGGTGGCCTGCAGGTTAAGTGTACGCGCGCGAGACTGAAGGTCCTGGGCACGGTTCTCGCGTGCGGCATTGTGGATGAGCACTGGTTAAGAGTCTCATACTGGGACGAAAAGGCCGTCCAGTACTTCTAGGTCTAGCTAAGTTCAACTCGTGAATACAACTGTTAAGAAAAATATTAGTCATAGATTCAATCACTAACAAAGAATATATAAAAGGTTTCCTTAGTATCATTAAAAACAGTTAAATTATATGATAAATTTAATGACAGATACACATATTAGCATTGTAAGATATGGTAGATAAATGTATTAGTCTATATGTTGTCTACACATTAGACTGACATAACAAGAAAAGAATTTAACAAGATACAATGTCAGAATTAAAGAAATGTGAACACAATCATATTCATGGCTTCATGAACTGATTCTTCGTTTGAATTTGACCGTCCCCAGCTTTCTTCCGACCTGTGTCTACACTAAGAAATAACGTATATCGAGATAGATTTTGACTAGAGAAACATAATTATATGTGTTAACCATTTCAGTAGGTGGAGTGTGACAGCTTCCTAAACAGATTTTTTTCATTTCTCCCAAGTACACTGAGTTCAACCTCAACATTGTTGACATTCATGTCTAAGATCTTTAATTACAGATTATTATTGTTTTATATCAGATGAGTTTTGTGGATATCATAGTAATTTCAAAGGTTAAGATCATGAATCAGTTGAAGTCAGACCACCATGGAAAACCTGGAAGCACTGGATGGTCATTCCATCCTATTGTGGCATTCCTGGGCAGTGCGCATCCACGACCTCGGGATTCGAACCCAGGACCTACTGGTTTGCTTAC